TTTTTATTTTCACGCGGACGGAGTCGCGAGCAATAGCTATATAATATAAAATGCCCAACGCGATTTACTCTGGGTGCTCGAGGCTAACTTAAGTAACGGGTGACTATGCTTTGATCAGTGATTTTAGCCCTTTGGGTTGACAGCTACCGATGTCTCTAAATCCTAATAAAATTACCTCTGTTCCTGCGGCATCTCGCTGCGGGACAGCACCCTGGTGCCGTATGAGAAGAACTCCCCGTTGAAGAAGCTGTCCATCATCCACATCTGCAGCACGATGTTCACCAGGCAGAGCAGTTCGCAGCCCCAGTACCGCAGCGCGTACAGCTTGTGCGTCTGTAAACCAGAAGTAAAACTAATAAAGAACAGTTTCGATAATTATAAGCAGCGGCTCAGTGAGTTTAAATTTTTAAGTAACCTTTACGAACCTGTCCCATTACTAGCTGATAGAGACTGAGATAGCTTAGACGTCACTGTCAGATAAGGGAACAAAATCGTATATTTCCATCACATATTTTACACTGGGTTGTTATCAGACAAATTTCAATTTAGTGGAACAGACCCTTAATCGATTATCAAAACCGATCACAAATAAACAAGTTCGTGTATCTTTTCCCTGTATTCAAGAATATAGAACAAAAATAAATCAATTAGGTATAATACTAGAATTTCCTTAGTTACTAAATGAGGCGCCGTATGGAATGCGGTTAAGCGTACCTTGACCTATGCGGATGTCCTGCGAGGAATGTCAGATAAATACTGTTATGTAATACATAACAAATGACGACCTACTCACACGCATTGTACAGGAAAAAGTGCAATATTCGTTATGAATGCAATTATAATATGCATAAAAAACACAATACAGTATGGGGATTTGATTGCTAAATTTAGTATTGGGATTCCTAAAATAGTTTGCGCTTATGTAGGTAGCGATTTTATTAATTTTATAGAGATTTTTTTTAGAGTAGGGGGCAAACGTGCGACACGAACACAGGGGTGGTCAACAACGCCCATGAACATCCGCAACACAGAGGAACTACAGATGCGTTGCCGACCTTTGAGGAAATTGTAGGCTCGCTTCTTGCAGGATCTTAAGTCGTATTTTAGTAACATTTATGTATACCATTAGCGTCATGTTAAAAATAGCACTAGACTTCAAAATTTACATTAAATCCGGTTTAAAATGTTTGCAGAACATAAACATCAAGTCTCAGTACTTATATGAATAATTACATCACTTTGACAAACTTTGCCTAGTTATGTATTTTAAAATTAAATACGAAAGATTAGGTTACAATGATTAAATAACAACTCAAATCTTACTAATCTTACTAATATTATAAATGTTAAAGTTTGGATGGATGGATGGATGTTTGTTTGAGTTCGTAGCTTAAACGGCTGAACGGATTTCGATAAAATATGGCATAGATGTAGAATATAGTCTGGAAGAACACATAGGCTATTCACTTTTGTTTTTTCCAATACCACGCAGACGGAGTCACGGGCGAAAACTAGTCATATAATAATTAGACACGAGACATAGAAGACGGATATAAATATATGAAAGGATCACACGACAAACATTAGATGCGATTGTAAAGCATGTCATCGAGACGGCATAATGGAGCCGCGTCACCGTGGGCGGTGTCGGACGACATCCGACAATGGACCTTTCATACGTAAACACGAGCCCCCGTATCACGTCGCCGATAACAAACAAACAAGCTCACATATCGACCACCTGCATCACGTATTCAAGGCTGAAGAGCTGGTCAGTTATCTAAAATTAAACTCGAGTTTACACTGTTACTTGTTTTGTAATAAAATGGTAATTTACTACTGACACAAAAAGACAATTTTTTAATGCTTTTAAGTAAATGTTACCACATCGTTTGCCAACTAAGAAATCTAAACTCAATGATCTGTAAAATATCATGCAATAATGCCCAATTTTTAAGAGTGGGCGCTTTGACTAAACTCGCACAAATGTTGTGCGATTGTCAATTATTTCGCGTCCCATTTTATTTAGTTGCACAACTAAAAATCGAGTAGTGTGCGCACCTCCATATAAGCTCATAGCGCGAATAAACAAATGTGGGATAGTTTAGTCAAAGGTGTGCCGCGCGCTCTATGCGTTTTACAAAGAGTTTTCAGGTAAGTGTAAGGTTCAAGATAAGCTTCACTAGGGTGACCACGTAATGATTATCCATACGGTAGGCAGTTGGTATTTTTAAAAATAAAGTATAGTAAGCAGACAGAAAATTCTAGAAACAAGAGATAAACGTTTGCAGAATCGATTGTGAAACAAATGCCATTGTGTATGCGAATTTGTTCCTTTACTGGGTGTTGTATAAACTCAAGGCGACTGTGAAATTTGAATTTCATGTTAATATTGAAATTGGTTGGATCACGCGTCAATCATTCATGTTATTCCATTATTCATTATTTAGAGCTACAAAGGTGTATTTTGAAATTGTAATCAAATGTTTGGATAATTTTATATTCATAAATTGATACATTCACAGTGGATCACGGAAGAGACATAGAAAGAGGAAAAAACTTTATGTGCGTCTCCTCCTCCGTCTAATAAGGGTAGGCAATACATCTGAAAATATGTATATCTATGGGCAACGGTCCCTTAGCTTTTAAAAATTGAAGGCGGGAACAAAATTTGTTTTTTTTTGTTCAAAGTAACATACATTATCTTAGCCACTTACTCCCACTTAGGTTACCTTAATGGTTTGTTAATCAGACAATTACTGTAGATTTTTGATACGAGCGTGGTATTAAGATATTTTTTTTTTATTTTTCTATTATTATTTTATTTGGATCATATATTAAATGGAAACTTATGGGGATGTTTTGTATCAACGTTATCCATAGCACATAAATATTTCTAACTTAAGAGTCACGTCAGAGTAAAGTGGTTGCTATTTTTGGTAAAATCCAATTAGGGGATATCTCGCTTCAAAGCTAATAATTAAGAGGGCGGATACTTAAGTTGTAATTTGAGATGTTTGAAGTTCTATTTTAAGATATACTAAGAAAAAATAGATTTATTTGAAAAATCTTACTAATGCCAAAGTTTGGATGGATGGATGTTTTTATTACGTTTAATAAATATCTGTAAATCAGTTCATCCGATCTCGATTTACCACAGAAATTGTATAGTCTTGAAGAAGACAGGCTAATTAAGAAGTTTGTTTTAATTCCGAACTGAAAGCCGCGGGCGAAAGCTAGTAAGTGAGATTTTAAAAAATCGATATATCATTCCATCCCTATGAAGATATTACGTAGTTCACTATAGTTATTTGTGAAGTTGCACCTTTGTTGTAACCCCATTAGAGCACACGACAGATGTCCTATTGTAACTGCACCTGGGCATTTTTTGTCCCTCCCCCGGGTAGGACTACGCTTTGCTTTGTATGGAATAAACCAATATGGCAGATGCTTCCAGTTTTAGATTAAAAAACTTGATAACAGATGTCGCTACTTGGATTTGACAATATGCTCTTGACGAACTAAAATTGTACTGAATTTTTAACACAATTTATTTAGATAACTACGAAGTATAGAGAAGAACGTTATAATTGTAGCGTAAGTAATTTTTGTATAAAGATAAAAAAGCATTAATTAGTCATACTTAAAATCCTATGTCGTTGACTTTTAAGTAAAATAAAAATTAGTCATCTGTCTTGTCTGATTCACTTAATAAATATGCAAATTTCAATTCCCGGGAAAGGCAACTCTGAGTAACAAATACTTCCTTTGCCTCCTAATTCCAAATGACCTTCAAAAACAAATTGACAAAGAGATTTGAACTCTAATCTGAAATGTTTAAAGCTTATATTTTAAGTAGCATTTAAAACAATGGCAAAAATGTGTAATTTCTTTTTGACCGAGGACTTGTAAATTGACACCTTTTTACTCCGTGCTCTATAAAAAGCATTGACGGGGCTTCAATAACAGATGGCGGTAGCAGTCTCTAATATTGCTGATACCCAGAATGTATTGCCGGGTTGGTTTACATCGAGTGTTTCAAGTTAAAATGTAAGTTGATAACATAAATGGCTTTAATACTTGAATTATCCATTTGATATGAGAGATAAACAATATTAACATATCTGTGTAATAATTACGGGACAATTTAACGCAAACTAATTATTTCTAGTACATACAAAACAAGGTTTTTTCATTGGCATCTAGTGTAACGGTACATTATGTGACTGACAGCTGACAGTACCGTTAGTCGACAACAAAAACTGGTGGGCAAAGAGCCGGTTAAGGTACAGTCGCGAACAAAAACTATAGACCAATTATTTTTAACCTATATTAAAACTATTTTTAAACGCGTATTGCATAGTTTTATTTAATTAGAGGCCTAATTTTAGTTCCTTTACTTTTGCGCCCTTTTCTTAAAAGGAAAGGATGGGAAGGAAAAGTGGATTTGACGGTGGAGGTGACGCATAGGAAGGGGAAATGTCCTCTTTGTGTGCGTCTTCTCCTCCGTCAATTAAGAGTAGACAACACATCTGCAATCCGCAGCTGCGGATGTTTATGGGCAGCGGTCGCTTTCCATTTCGGTGGATTCAGGTGGCCGCTTGCTCGTTTGCCACCTTATTATTATGAAGAAAAAAAACAGAAATTATATTTTCTAAGGATTTATCTTTGGAAATTATCTACAAGTACTATCCGAATAAATTCAACCTAAATACAATGTACATTTCACAACAAAAACCAATATCTACAGTTTTTAAAAGTGTAACTACGAACTTGCTTGCCACACTTCAGTTCAGTTCACTTCGTTCCATTAGAGTGAACGCTCCCATTCACTGAGCGCCTGAATGAGATGCAGGTCACAGGCAAACATGTCACGGTTCACATGTTTTATGAAATAACACGTGGATTTATTTACAAAGGGGACTCAAGAATCCTACAAAACTATCGGTTTGACATATTTTAAAATATAATTTTACGTGGATTTTACATCAAAGACAATATGATATATTAATCTTTTAAAAGTAGAGACAAGAATGTTACAAACTTCAAGGTGAATTATTACTGCATAGACAAAACAAGTTTAGTAAATATATTTAAACACATTTTAATAGAACAAAGGCTTGTTAACGGCTGGAGGAAGGAGAGGGGGTGTACGAAAGCTCGATCGCGCGTGGCTCTAAAGCCTGGATTAAGCCGGCTTCAGACGTCGCGACTGCCTAAGTTGATACGCCAGGGGTTTCCTTGCTAGTTGATAAAAATGGATAGCTGAATATATTTCTTTAAATGCTGAATGTATCTTAATTTTAACGAGCTCTTTGTGATCTTTTAATTCTTTTTGTACAATATTCTGTAGATTTAAATTTAAAGTTATGTTTAAGCAACAAGTTTAGTGAAATTTCCATTTATATAAAAAAATTATTTATCTATTCTACAAATCAATTGATATTTTTAAATAGATTATATTACCGCAACCCAGCTTTTGTACATGTTGTAAAAATGCAATATTGTCCACACATGTATTAATTTCCTTTAAAAAGGTGAAACCTTGTACACACCCTCGCCCCTAATCCTTGGTAACAAATCAATAAATTCAGGAAAGGCCGGTCGTCAAGTTTCCCGCGCTTTCCCGAACCGGATCCACACCTTGTTCCACAAAAAACCTAATATATCCTTCCCGTACCTTCCTTATAGGTTAGCGTGGGACAAGTTTATTCAGGTGTTCTAAACTTTGTGACTGCAAAGTTGCTATTTTTAACCATTTTTATTTCACGGGTAAAATATCGAATATACTATTATAATAATACAAGTGGGTGTAAAAATAATTAAATTAGTAAAGCTCGTAACTAATGTAAGCTAAGTGTAAAGATTCATAAAAACTAACTTATTTTTGTCACTAATTTACTTTATTTTTTATTTAATGTCACAATGATAACGTTAACTATCAGAACATAATAGGCTTTTACTTTTACTAAAGATAGCTAGCCAATGCGGGCCATCAGTTGTCAGCCCCTGGAACCAATAGAAAGGTCGATGTACAGGAAATCACGGCGCAAGTTACACAACAGATTGCCCAATGATAACCGTCTACTTCGACGTTCCTTGGTCGACGACCGCGCACAATAAGTGCCTCGCAATCACCATCGGGCGAATTTTTTGTTACCACGCTTCATTGAAAGCACGGTACAAAAACTATGATCTCTAATCTTACTTCGTATTAAAGACATTTAATTCCCAGAACTAAAGACGTAAATGCAATAATCTCAAACTTGTATAATTGCCTACAACACTGGAGTATATCTAGGAGAACACTGGAGTGTGTCTAGGCCGTAGTCAACCACGCTGGTCCAGTGCGGGTTGGTTGACTTCACACATATCTTTGAATTTCTACGCCGATATGTGCAGGTTGCATCACGATGTTTTCCTTCACCGTAAGAACGTCGGGTAAATTATGTACATATGAAAATTCGAAAAATCGAAAATCACATTGGTACATGCCGGGATTCGAACCCAAGACCTGTAGATTACAAGTCAAGTGTTTAAACGACTGAGCCACCGACGCTCCGTGTGAGTTTGTTCGCGTTCCTTCCTTCCAACTTCTGCCTACATTACTACACGCTGTACTATCGAGTTTAACTGGCAATGAAAGCTCATACACATACATTACACAAGCATTGAACCCACGGTTGCATTAAGAAGCTAAACACGCACACAACACCGGCCTCAGCCACTTGGTATGCGCAAATCACATTGTTCTGGTAACACGCAGACTGCCTACAATCGCCATTTGAATAGTTCGTGGTTGAACGGGTATGTGACCTTGATTCCAGGGATTGATATTGCCGTACATGATATCAATGCATCTTACTAATATTATAAACTGGATTTCGCCCGCGACTCCGTCCGCGTGGAATTAAAAAAGAAACAAATGTAAATAGACTATATGTTCTTCCAGACTATGTTTGTTTAATTTCATCGAAATCCATTCAGCTGTTTAGGCTACAAACTCTAACAAACATCCAGCCATCCATCTAAACTTTCGCATTTATATTAGTAAGATGAGAAAGTTTAGACGGATGGATGTTTGTTACGTTTGTAGCCTAAGTGGCTCAACGGATCTCGATGAAATTTGGCATAGTAGATAGTCTAGAAGAACACATAGGCTACTTTCTTTGTTTTTTTTTTTAATTTGGCGCGGACGGATTCACGGGCGATAGCTAGTGTACTATAAAGATGGTCCTTATAGCTTTGTTATTGCATTAATATTGACAAAATTATTTCCTAATATCATTTTTGTTTTCTAGTTTGAAAGCGCACATCGTAAGCAAACCAGACTTTATTTGGCTTCACCGACCCTCATTTGTTTTAGCGTAGCTGTCGTCGTTTTTGTCTACAAAAGTATACTTACACAATGAATGTTTACAATTGAGGCTAATAGTAGCAGGAAATTGCACCAATTTGGACTATTTGTCAGAAAATATTAAGTTCACAAATAATTTGTTTCTAATACTGGTGACGTTTTTGTCAAAATATTAAATCCTTGGTTCTATTCCTTAATAGGTTTAAACAAGTGAATGAATTTGTCAACTAGTTCACTAGTTAACCGAGAATGAATGACTATTAGCCTGTATGAATGGAATCACTCACCCGTTCATGTCTGATTAGGTAACCAATGATGGCGTCTTTCTTCTTCTCCTTTTCGTTCTGGTCGCAGATACCGATGTTGAGACCCATCACGATGGTCCGCAGGAGACCGCCCTCGAACGCGTCCCATAGGAACTTCGGTGTGTAACACATTAGAGCCTAGAGACATACATAAAAATGTACAATTGTGCACAAAAGCTGAACAAGTATAGTCGGGGAACCTCGCGGTATTCCATCTTAAAACTCTACAACGTTTATAAATGTATTTATACAAAAAAAATCGGTAAATGATACAAGGCTAGTTTTTAATATTGTCCCTTCGTTTGCACTCACTGCTATCTAATAGAAAGAGGCGGAGTTTGTATCGTTGCAATGAAAAAGGCAATTTTTGCAGAAGTGCAATACCGCGTATTTCAGCGACTGTACAAGTCCAATCTAATGTTTGCTATTTTTTTACTAATGTATTCTCTTAAGATACTGGTTGTTGTTCGAGACTTTGTTCGTGCGGGATTAAAAAAAATCGACTTATAAATGCAGCCTGTTAGTGACAACGTAGGTTTTTTAATGGTAAAAGAATATTTGACATCGGTTCAGTATAATCAAAGCCGTGCAAACAAACAATTCTTTCGTTTTTTTAAATATTACCATAGATATAGGTCATAAAAATACAGACGAATTAATAACCTCCTTGTTTACGGAAGTCGGTTAAGACTTTTCTTAACTAGTTTACGAGTATAAAGATCCGTTACTTGTCGAGACTAGTAAATTAAGTCTACGGATACATACGCGTTATTTTTGACAAATTATCACGACACTGAAAGTTCATCGACACAATGACCTGCTTGTTATAAAACAAGTTCGATTCTGCAGAAATATTGAGATATAATATAAGGCTACTCGATCATAGACAGATTTTCTTAAACAAATGCGAGTATAAACGTCACTTAATGCGGTTGGATGAATGTTTACGTGGCATGTGCCCACGTGACGTCATACTCTCGTCTCACTGGGTCGTCTCGTTGGCGTCAAATGTGACGTCACAGCGTTCACCGTTACACGCCCCCGTAGTGTCGCGATACGTAAACTTATTTTGTCGTGACTCTCGAGTTATAGCTATTTTATTAGCTGTTATATTAATAAATAATGTTATAAAGACTGTTTATTCTTTTTGTTATTGTATTTGTTAAAGTTAGTTAACACTTTATTGATCTCTTTTGACACTTAATAAACTAGCTGTTCCCGTGCGGCTTCATCCGCATGTAATTATAATGATTTTATTTTATTGTTTACATTTGTCAAATTATCAATAGCAAATGTGAAAATGACATGACATGATGACAAACCATGGCAACCTTGCTTCCATGATGTTGGCAGCAACTTATGGTCTCTTTCTCACATTAAGGTTTTTATCTAAAATATTTACCTCCTAAGTTTAATAGCGTGAAAACATATAGCCTAAAGCGTGACGTAAGTGTAGGGCTTCTTATTAAAAAAATAATTATTCAAAAATATGCTGTAATTGCTGACATCTTAGGCAACAAAGAAGTGTGTGTTTACGTTTTATTATAATTGTTTTGATATTGATAGTAACTATAGATAATAATGGGAGATTGGACGCTAAGGGATAATGTTTTAGACGCTTATTTAGATGAATTTGGCAATGAATTAGCAAATTATTCTTATTTAAATTGTAACTTTTATTAAAATTTAACTATTGATGCTCGTCACGCCCTTATAAATGTTAATACAAAATATTGTCACGTACTAAACTTGCTTAGATCACCATGAAGATAACCGTTGTGTTTATGCAAACGTGATTTTTTTCTTAAAGTATGTTAAGTAACAAAGAAGTATAAACACTTCCTGGTCCTACAAACAGCAAGCCATTTCGTAGATTATTTAGATAATTAAATATTCATTAAGTTGTTTGTGAACATGAACATTTTTATAAATCTCATTAAGAACTAGTTAACAATATGAAAATAGGTACAGTCGTGTACATCCGCGGTGATGCACTTACAGAAAAATTGTCTTGTTTCTTGAAACGTAACAAATCACGTCTTTTACAAAAACAACGAGTTGCGTAACTGAATAACAATAATAACTAAAACCATACTGACCCAAATTCTTTAATAAAAAAAAATAAAGCTGCATCTTGTTGGTTATTATTCCGCGTCGTCTCGATGCATAGAAACGATTCAAACGATTGTATTAATAAGGGTCACCGTCATATTCCCCGACTGTACTTACTATTATAAACATTATGATTACCTGGAAGAATAGAACGAAGCACACCCATTGGTAATAAGTGTAATACTTCTTCTCCTGTGTGCTGTCGTACTCGTTTGCAATACCAGGGTGCGCCACCGCTTTGCCCACCTGTGGAACATACAGGTAATTATTGATAATCTTCTATCTATGGTAAATGTTTCTATCTAGAAGATAATGTATTTGCGTTGCAGATAACGAAAATCGCATTTAAATTTTTTTGTCTGTGTGCCTGTCTGCAAGCCGCGTTTGTTCCGGGTAATCTCCGAAACGGCGGGATGTCTACCGGACTTTCACTGCAGATTAGCTGACATAGACAGGTATATTATAGGCTACTTTTTTATGTTTATATTGCGTGGACGAAGTCGCGGGCAACAGCTAGTAGTTAATATAGACCTCAATTGACACATCACTATTAAAATTATGAACGCGGTCTAACAAATTCTGCAATAACAGAAATACACTTGACAGTAAAACAGGGCAGTAGGTATCCCAGCTCCTGACACGTGCCAGATATTGGCACAATTTTCACACATGGTCAAATTAGTCCACTCGATCTAACTTGCACGTAGCTATTACAAAAACAAATATTTTGCTAGCTACCTGGCATTCAAGTATGCCAGCTACTTGTATGTCTATATCCTTCCTGTGATATCAAAAACAAACACAAATGATTAAGAAGAATATGGTAAAGATCACGTCAAAGATCAGCGACCTAATTACCAACCACCGAGGTCGGACCTCCCGCGGTCCACACGTGTTAAACACATTGCTCACTGCACTAAGGACTCCAAATTTTAGCAGATGGGGACTTGGGTTTTGCTTTTTATCACATGTGTAAAATAGCCCATCATGGTCAACATACCATGTAGATTTTATGTAGATTATGAAATAGAAAAAAAAATGTTGAAGTGTTGTAAAAAAAATCCGATTCAGAATTTGGATATTTCTATAAATGTAAATAAATTGCCGTTTAAATAAAAGTGAAAATGCTTTAATTTATACTTTAACCTCGTTCCCGTTCTTCATTGGAGACATTTTAAAATTGCACAGCACTTTAGAGCACTCGTGAGATATCCTCGCTGAAGTAGCACTCGAGATAAAAACCCCAGCTTTATGAGGGGTTGATTTTAAACACGAGAACTATAAAGGATCGCTTAAAAAATGAACTCTTGAAATATCGGATGGTATAATTTATAGGAATTAGTTGGGCATAGTCCTTTCTCTTGTTTATAAGACTGTCTTCTAGTTTAACATTAACACTTCAATAATGATAATGAACAACATAACTTGAAGCAAGTTATTTTAATTCGTTTACCGGATTGACCAACCGAGAGATCTGAACTTGTTAACTTTCCCTGACAACCGACAAAGTTTCTGATTACGTAATCTCGTTATAGGTAATTGACAGAGTTATTTAAACAAACGTAAATACAAAATTACGAAGATGCCACAGTTCCATTGAACTCCATAATCTCAGTAACCGCAGTACTCTGTATTAATACGTAACAAGGACAAAGTGACATCACAGCTTGACTAATTTATTAAACAGTTATGACAAAGCGGAAGATCTCGGAATCGTCCATAAGTCACACGTTCCTGCTGACAAATCAGCTGCTTCATTCATTGCAAAGTGCATCAAATAGCATGAATCATAAGGAAATAGTTTTATTATTCTAGTCGCGACGACAGAGAGCTGAAAGCAAGTTAAAGTATTAACGAAGACAAAATAAAGACTGATTCGACATAAAGATAACAGAAAAAAGATATCGACGGTAGTGTCAAACTATTTATCTATTTCTATGAAACTTTAGATGAAAAATTAGATGACGATATTCCAGACACGAAATTATTAAAAGCCAATATGGAAGAAAGAATCATGCGATATTAAGGAAGGAAAGTTACCTAAGTGGTCCAGGATACATTGTCAGGCGAGTGAAAAACATGTCCTAATGAGGACGAAATCAGAACAGGTCATTGCAGACAACCGATGTACTCGTAATTATATGAGTCAGCGACACGCCGACTTGATTTCCTCAACAAGTGAACGAGGACAGGGTTGTCAGTTTACACTTTTGAAATTATTACATTTTTAAATAAAAGACTACACAAACTGTAAATCAAAATTAAGGATTCTATTCCTAATACTTCTTAGTAAATTACAATGAAACTTTTTGAAGACGTTAATATGAAAATGTAAAATGCTTCACTGTTCCACAAACACAATTTTATGGGGCTCTTCCTCCTGTGGTGGAAACTTTAACCTTTCTTATTTGAAATCATGATAATTATATATGATATATATACTCAAGATAAATGCTTTTTCTTAATAATAGGAACCAGAAAAAGAAATTACTATAACTGATGTATTACATACGATATAAAAAATTCTGTAACCGAAATAATTCAAGTGACAGCCCTGATACACGTGAATAAAACAGTGAAGCATTCATACGAGCGAAATGCAAAATTAAGCGAGCGTTCGCACGGACGCG